GGGGCGAGGCGAAGCAGGGGCGCAGGGACGAATCGGAATCTGGCGGAGCTTTGCTCGTAGCAGAATGGACAGTCCCGGGACAGCTAGCGTCAGCGCCATGGAGCAGGTGACCCAGCTTGATGTGATCACGGCCCATCGCACGCTGCTGCGGCTGCACCCCACCAGTGCCAGGTCGCGGAAGTGACACCGTCAGCGCGGCCGCACGCCAGAGTGGCGCTGCTCCGACCCATCGCCCCGCACTCCTTGGACTCTCGGATCTGCTGGGCCCGAGACGCGCACGAATCGGAGCGCATGACTCTGGACGGACGACCAGCGGGAGCACGCGTCGACCCCAGGCAACGCACACTGGCTCAGCGCGCGAGGCGGCGAATCGCAGGGACGAGACATGGCGGGCAACTAAAGGGGCTCTGGGACACACAAATAAATACACACAAATAAAAGGATTCCCCATATTTTTCCACATGTGTTGGATCTGTGTCTTCCCCCCCACTTCCCATATTTTCCCATATTCCCTGGGGATCGACGATTCATTGTGTCTGTGTGGTTCTTCCCCTACTGATAATCGCAGGGACGAGACATGACGGGCAGCGGCGCTCAGCGCTGGACGACCAGGCCGCGGCAGAGCAAGGGCGACTGCTCCCGGGACGGAGGCAGCGACCCCCGTCGCCACGACGCGAGGGCTCTCGACAGCTCCCTGGCCAAGTGCGCGCGCGACCACGACCTGAAGGAGATTCCCCGGGCGCACTCCAAAGGCTCGCCGCGTCGGAAGCGAAAGGCCCCCCTGCGGGACGGGAAAATGACAATTTTTTGGGGAAGGGGTTCTTGAACACTTGAGATCAGAACCCTCGGGCGGCCGCCGGCTACAGTCGGACCTAGGGCAGAAGAACGTCCTCCAGGAACGTGAGACCCTCCGCCGCCATACCTCGGCCCGAGAGTCGGGAGGGGAAAATCTGGCGGGCGTTCACACGCAGGGAAGAGGGGGAGGAGGAAGAGGGGGAGGAGGAAGAGGAAGAAAATGACCACAGCCGCTGCTTCGTTGTTTGCGCCGCCTTCCGGCCGGCCGAAGAAGAAGCAGTGGCTGTGGCCCTTTCCCTGGTGCCAAGCTCAACGAAAATGACCACAACCACTGCTCTGTTTCTGCTGGCTGGAAGGCGGCAACAAAAGAAAAGCAGTGGCTGTGGTCGTTTTCACGTCCCGTAACACCAGACCCGCCCCTCTCTTTTCCTGTTGCCGCTCCATCCTGATCTGGGCGGGAGCCTGCGGCGCAATGAGAATGGGTATTTCAGCAAAGTGCCCGAGAAAGAGCCGCGCGGCTTACCGGATCGACATCGGCAGGTGGAGCCAGAAACCAGAACCCACATCCAGCTGGCAGCACGCGATCACATTCACGACGGGCGCGACATCAATCAAGAAGGCAGGTAACACTGGCAGCCGGTCGCCTCCAGAAAAACAAAATCACTCTACCAATGTGGATGGGCCCCAGCGGGCGACAGCTGGCGCGCCAGTTCTGCGGAGAGCAGAGAGCCCCAGCAGGCGCGGTGGCACACATCAGCGGCACAAGGGATAATCCCATTCCCACCGCGGCACGCTGGAGGACCCACGTTGGCGAGGAGGCGACGGCGTTCGAGGGCACGGACCCACGGAGACAAGAGACGCAATCGCTGGCCTACTGTCTCCGAAGTGAAGGCGCATACAGGCCAGGAGTGGGCGAGCTACATCGCTGCAAGCCGCTGCGGCATCGCGGCGCAGACACCACCGATCAACACCCAGAGCGCGCCTCACCTGGAGCGCGCCACTGACGTCTGCACGACCAACTTACAGGCTCAGAAGCCTGCGTGAACGCCATTCGCGGACGTGATAAACCGCGACGGCCAATGGTCTGAAGCCAACCAGCGAGGTCGGGACTGGACCCAGGCCACTGGGGAGTGCAGAGATGCAATTCAGCAAGGAAGGAAGCGGGGCGTGGCACAAGCTGAGAGGAACCAACGACGGGATCGCCGACCAGTTGATCGCATCGATGAGCAGCCACGGCAGAGGCCCCAGCGAACGGGGCCACCTAGGTGAAGAGGCCTCACAAGAAACGAGAATGCGCAGTCGAGACTCGCGGCTTTCATCGAGCACCTCCAGCGCAGTACCAACACGGAACGGAGCGCACCGGATTGGAGGTCCTCGTGGGAGAGACGGGCGGACACGCGTTTCCGGTCGGGCAGATACGCCACAGCAATCGAGAATCCCACTCCCAGGGAAACTACGAGCCATGATATCGACCAATCAGTTACAAGCGGAGCATACGGAATACAACTCCACGGGCACGGTTCGAGCGCCGGCCCCCTGGCAACGAAGGAATCAACACGACAGGGACAAAACCCCGCATCGTGCCAATCGGAGCCTGCCCG